TTCTAATTAATTAGAATTTCTGTTTTTTTTCTCTTATAAAAGGCTAAATAAAACAAAAATATTAGTGGTAATTTTTGACTGTGTAACTTTACAAACGGAACCCCGTAGTTTCTCTGTCGTGATTCAATAGTAAACAAGAGTGAAGGTGGAAGACCCCCCCCATCCTCCAGGTTCTGATCCGGAGTCAGTATCCTGGGTTTGAATTCTCCCCACTCCTCTAAACAACACACGGGTTCACACGTGCTGATTTTTTCCTGCTAATTTACCCCACCTCGGCACGTACATAATTAGTGGGTCAGATACTAATTCCGATTTTAAAAATATATATTTAAAATGGCTACGATACAATTTGCAATATAAGTGTAGATTCAATCACATTAATGAAAAACATTGTTAGTGAATTTCAATATAAAGTCAGGGTTTCCTATGAAATGAATTAAAGCTGAAACTGGAAGTGATACAAGTAGAGATTTCATATTTGTTATTTTTCAAGTTTTCAAAAGCGTCAGCTTTAGGGAAATACTTCAAGTGCCTGTGACATCAAATTTTTTTGTAATAACACAAATGCATTTTTGGAAAGATAACACTGAGAACATTTTACAAAATAATTTTCACACCACTGGGATGAACAGTTGTTGAGATATTTGCATGTGAAGAAACAGGAAGTGATGTCAGAGGGGAGTGTCTGCATGTGAACAGAGCTAAGCTAAAATGCTCAACTGTCTGTGGAGAGGTTTTAGATTATTTTATTTATTTATCAGACAGAAACAAAAAAGAGTCAGAGTTTAAATCATATTGTTTCAATAAACAAAGACCAGAGAGTTCTTTTTCTTAAAGGAGTTCCCTTTTGATGTCACTTCCTGTTTCCCTTTTGCTGAGTCAAGTTCAAAAGAAAAGACTCTCATGTGTCCAAATGGGTAAAATAATGTGTTTCTACAACAGAACAAAGTTTTCTTTGACTTTTTCTGTCTGAAGTATAAGCATGTCACAGGCACTTTAAAACCTAAGAAAGTGGAGTTTATGAACAATTATTATCTTACCTGCTGTAGGTTAGTTCTGACCGTAATGACGAGCTAAAGGCTGGTCTGAGAGGGGCCAAGACCACAGTGGGTTTTATTACTGCAAAACATGATGGCATTTCATGGAAATTACYTTTTTGTTTTGCATACATATACGTTTTAAATGTTGTATTCTGTGGTTATGTGCCTGTGAAATAACAGCAGCAGCTAGCTGTAGCACTTCTTCCTCAGGTAGGAGCATCATTATAGCTGGCCTGAACAGAAAATGTGATAGCAGTGTGAAGGTTTTTAAAGACGTGTTTGTATAGTTTTTTTTTACTTGAACGTTGTGTTTGTAAATTACTTTATGTCCTTCCTGACACAACCTGGGCTCGAACCTGCAGCCTCAGAATTACGAGACTATGGCACAGACCACTGACCCCTGAGCTCAGTCAAAACAACAAGAATCCACGTTTGTGTCAGCCAAATTGACACCGTTCAAAGGGCTATCTACAACAGGTAAGATATTWACTGTTCATAATTCATAACCTCTTCTTAACTCCACTTTTATAGATGTGAACTGTTAATTTAAGGGACACCAGCTAAAACTAAAACCTGGTGACAGAACAGCTGAAGGTGTAGCAGTGAGCAGTGTGGATGAACTGCAGCTGAAACCTGACTGTTTTCATCTCATTTAGTTGACAACGCTGTCGGTTTTGAGCGTGTCCATTTCAAAAGTAAGAATACAAAGACTTACATGTAGGTCTACTGGACTGAACAGGTACTGTTTTTCTTTGTTGTAAAATGCAAACAATCAAAGTCAAATGCACCGAAAGCACCAAAAAACGTTTGTTTCTGAACACACATTGGTAAAAGGCACAGTAGTCCAACAGTCCAGTCAAAAAAAGTTCACCTGCAGTTTTTTTCCTTCCTCTTTATGACAGCAATAATAAAATAAAATAAAAAAACACAAGTGAAATGTCAAAAACTTCTTTCAAAATTGCGCTAAAAAGATGAAGAGCCACACTGCGCAGGTGCACAGCTGGCCAATAAATAAATAGAAACAATAAATAGCTGCAGCYGTTGATCAGGACATGAATAAATTAAACTGTGCCACTTTGATGAGGCAAATGTCTTTTGAGTGGTCCTTGGTTTGCTTTCCTCAAGCTGCTCTTTTAAAACGTCTTCGTTTTGAACGACCCTGGTTGCCGGTTCAGTTTGCAGACAGACGTCTGACCTGTCATGCTGCGGCGTCCCAGCGTTTACGAGTACATTCGTGAGTTTCTGCGTCACTTTCCGACGTCTCTAACGAACCGCGGCTACGGCACCGCGTTTTGAGTTCCTTACTCAATTTACATAAAATTAGGATTCAGACCAAACAGTGATGTATTATCATAACCAACAAGACTAATGAAGTCATATCTCTGGATAAACTGATCAGAATGATCCAGGTGTCAAAATCACTGCAAAAACTGTCCACCTAACCAAGTTTTAAAACCTTATATCAGCCAAAAAGTCTTTTTGATCTTGTTTTCAGAC